TTTTGCTATATTGGGAACATTTTTTGCTAGATTCATTAATTGATGGCAAAGTAGCAAGATTGTTCAGTAAAAGATGCTACAATGAGAGTTGCAGGTGTCTTTTAAGTAAGAATAGACGGCAATTCCAAAAGAAGCATATCAGTTATTCTCTTTTGAAAAGAAGGATCTTAGACACAGTGTAGCAGAAGCATGTTTAGAAGTGTAGCAGAAGAAGTGGCATGCAGAAGCATGTTTAGAAGTGTAGCAGAAGAAGTGGCATGCATGGCGATTTTTAAGTGTTTTAATAATGATCAGAGTTAGGTAGAACATCAAAAATGTCCAAAGACTATAGAAACTGAAATGCAACGAGCTGTTGAAATCTAGTAAAAGTGCCTGTAAAATTACTTCAGCAGAATTTTACAGAGAAATTTGGATTCTATTGCACGGTATTTGACAAACGGATTCATTACTTGGGTTCGGTAGTAAATTTCGGCTCTTAGACCCTCATGATTAAATGGAAAAACACTATGAAAGGAATGTGAATTAATGAGTTTCAAACTTTTTTGTGCAGAATCAATTCGGAGTTTTTACATCAAATGATAACCGTTTATGAAACCTGGGTTTCCTACAAGAATGTAAAATGATGGTTTTTGTAGACTAGGCAAGCCTCCGGGATCTAGCATAAAGCAAGAATTACATCCTCAAAACATTCTACTAAGGGTTTAGCAGAAATTTCGACCACCAAGACAGGCAATAAACTGGAAGCTGCGTTATTCGTGGCTAGATTGCCTTTGCAATGTCATGAGATAAAACTGTCCATTGCAGGTAAATTGTCACGGAGTGGTGTTCTCTTACGAAAAAGCAAGTCTCAACATGTCCTTTTAGGAAATTAAAGCATTTGATGGGAGTTCGAAACGCATTTTTCGCATTCATTTGCAGTGAAATGAAATTGCAATGAAAGAAGTGATGTTCCAAAAGAATATCACTTCTTCCATTCATTTCAAAAATTTTTTAATGAAAGGGATATAACAATGTATAAAATCTTTGCAATGGATTGCAAAAAGTATTTGTCGTTATAAAAATATCTGTATAATATCGTATAGCTAAACATAAATTCTGTCAAGTATAAAATCCATGACATTTAAAAGTCTTTTTTTTAATTTATACAAACGTTAACATTATTAAAAATTACATACATTTATTTCTGATTCACGTAATATGTAGTAAGAAACATAGCGTTATAATTAAAAAAGAAAGATCTCATGTGGTGTCGAAGGCAATGACTTGCAGAACTGTAAAACAGCCAGGTTTTAAGAAGTGATACTTAATTAAAACATTTTGCATTTTATGTATATATATGATATTTCTTTTTAATTTCAGATACTTGAGTTTCTTCAAGTTTGTCTTGTAAGTCGAATTTATTTAATCTAAATTTAAGTTTCTAATTACCACACAACAAAATGATTTGCAGTATTAGAGTAGATGTCTGTAGTTAATATATATATATATATATATATTATACTAAGGTACCATCTAAATACAGTTGCGAGCTCTACTCTGCTCTCCGTCAAAATGACATTCGAACTAATCTCTTAATATTGACCAAATGGAGTAAGGGTTGGTATATGTCTTTAGTAAGGTTTTAGTAAGAAATTTTAAAATTTAACATTAGTTATTTTATTACAGTTCCTGTGATATATTACACTTCTAGCGTTTTGAAGAATGCGCGTAATTTGTTACATTGATGTATTACAGAAGGATTGCCTTGATTGTATATACAAATGTAAATGTATATGTATACGGAAAATGTTATATAGATCATGAATATTCATTACAAAGCCCACAGAATCATTGTTCATAGATGTAACAGAAGATAGTAACCCTAATTAGTCCTAGAATATATAGTCCTTAAATACTATCTAGAATAATCAGTATTCCATAAATAATAATTAGTCTATAGAATTAGTCAGTAGCCCATCAATACTCGATACTAGATCAGTAGTTCTTCCATAGTCAATAATCTGTACAAAATAGTGTATCAATCTTGATCAATAATCCATCAAGAGTTTAGTCCGTCAATTGTGCTTTCTGTTGCATTATTGTGTGTTATCACATGACATCATCTGCTACGTTTTGCGACTTTTCCAGTCTTCTGCTGCTGATTTAGCTCAAACATTTCTTGAAACACTGACTGGGTCTCCCTTTCCCCCTACGTCCTTTAAATAAAGTAAATTGTAAGATATTTTCTCCCTCTTTACTTGTGCCTTTGTGGTGCAACTGGAAGCGCGCACCGCTGACATTCGGGAAGTCCAGAGTTCAAATCCTGCGACTGTGATTTTTCATGTCTCGTGCACCGAAATTATGCCTATTGATCTCTACAAACTAGGTCTTACCACAGATCGAGTGGCAAAATCGTTGTTCCGACCTGAGTTCGATTCCATACAAACGGGCTGGCTGCATGGGCGTTTTCGTAGTTTTCTCAGTGTTTAACTTATTCACTAGCCAGTTTCCCTTAGAAAGTCTTCCACGAAGGCATCCCTCCCCTTAGGCAGATATTCCTTCTGTACTTTTCCATAATTAACTGAAACCAAACCAAACCAAAAAAAAATCTCTACAAACTCTAATATGGCTAATATTTTCAAATCTTGAAATCTACAGAGGAGTTTAGTATGTTCACTTGCAAGACAGACGCACTGTTTCCTGCAAGAGAATCTGTGTCTGTTCTCGAATATTTTTCTTTGTGACATTTCAAAAAAAATAACAGGTACAGCAAATGGAGCAAAACTAGAGCATTTTTGCTTAATTTGCCCGATATATCATAGTCATATTAATCATATTGTCTAATAATCCATTCAGTGGCAACTGTCCTTCATGAGAAATAATTATTCACGGATTGAAAAAGTCACGGGATGAAAAACAGATCTGCGATGGGCAGTAAGAATTGCTTATAATCTATCGATCAACCGATCTTACTATGTCTTTTCTTTTTGTCTTTCCTCAGTGACATAAGCGAAATAAGACAAAGTGAATTTCTACCTCACAATTGTTTGATCAAAAACGCACTGGCTGCTTCAATTGAAAGTTCATGAGAAAATAATCCCAACTTCGTCATTCTAATTTTTATCTATAGTAGCCATATGATAATTGTCAGATGAAGTCATTCAGGATTATATCATCATTCATACATGTTTGCCTATTCAACTTTCTTCAGCTCCCACCTTAGGCTGAGAAACCCTTCACCAGTCTTAGTCTCGTCCCTGAATGCAGTGGCTCATATTTGTTTTCGGTAACTTGTTTTTCAGTTTTATTTTCAAATATCAGTTACAAAATGTTATCAAAATAACTTTATTTTTTTCACGTTTTTCCCACATTTTTTAAAACCTGCTGGCTTTGGAAAAAGACATTCAATGTACTTTTTGTGGAAAGTAATAATTTATTCAAACCGTTCTAAAAATGAACTCACATAAGCATTCGGAAACTTTGAGCAAACAGTTTATATTTAATTAAGGCACGAAAATAAGGAGGTATTCAATATTTTGTTAGATATACTTTAGTTAAAATTACACTTGCACACTGGAATTAATTCAACTAACGGTTTTCGTGTAAGAAGATTCTATTTTGTAATATTCCTTCGTCGGATCCAGTAGTCGGGAAACTCATTAGTCAACAGAGCCAATTATCAACTTTTCAATGATTGAAATCTCTTTTTAGGGCCACATATCTTAAATTATATAGGTAGGTATGCTGTGATTCACTTAATAAGGGTACGCCTACGATGGCTTTTACTAAGAACGTCCTCAATCTGATCAACGTACGTTCGCTGAGGTCGATCCACTTCCAACTGTCCCATCCACACTTGTCTTGTATACTCGTTTCATGTATCTTCTTTCCTTCATCCGCTCTTATGACCAAACCATGTTATACCTTTCTCAATTCTCAATAATGCATCTTTTTTTCACTCCACAACAATCCCTAAAATTAACTTAATACTTCAATTTTTAAGTCTTAGTTAAACTATATAGGTATGTTGAATAAAGCTTGATATTACACTAAATAACGATACTATTTATGTTAAATAAAACTGTAAAGTATCCAAAAACTTTAAATCAACATAATGACGAACAAACGCTAATGAACAATGGCCTTGCATCTCCTTGGAAACTTTGTGTAAGTCAGGTTTGAATATCGTTATTTTTAATTTTAATCATGATTCCAAGTTCTCATCGATACGAACGACTTCTTAATTTGCTCTTGATAGGGTTCGTGCTTGAAAATGATTGTTCGCATGAATGTGTAGGCCAGAAAAAGGAAACCACAGCAAGCTCTAGTTTTTTCAGCTGATTATATGAGTCAGGAATACTATTAAATGTGTTAAAATCAACATATCTTCCTTCTTCAGGTCCTTCAAACCAGACGACTTGTACCCTCAACTAAGCTCACATTTGTTTTGCTTCAATGTTGTTATATCAGCGCTAAGACGTTCAAATTTCTCTTTAAGTCCAGCAATTGTATTTCAAAGTTGCCAGTGTCAATATTAAAGGGAGAAAAGCTTAATTCTGTTACAGTAGTATTCAGAGGCTTTTTAATAAAATCTAAAGTGGCTTTGTTGTTTCTGAATTCCTGAAGCCTGCTGAGAAAAACTTCTTTCATATTTAAAACTGTTGTTTTGAAATAGCAAATGTCAATATCTGAATTATTTTCTTGGCGATGTTTCAACAGGCTTGGAAAGTGAATCGAAATTTCTCTTTCAAATTCTCGAGCAAGAAGAGATAATTTGTTTTCAAATGAAATAACTTCTACCATCGAAAAAACTGTGTTTCCTTTACCCTGTAGATTTTGATTAAGCTGATTTAGATGAGACCTAACATCTACCACGAAATAAAATTTTTGAATCCACTGATCGTTCTTTAATTCTAGATAATAAACACATTTTCAAGTAGAAATGCTTTAATTTCTGTTAATAAGGACACGAAACATTTCAAAATGTTTCCTCTTGGTAACCTACTTATTTTGTTTTGCAGGAGAAGACCTGAGTACACATTCTCCATATCAACTAAAAATTCTTTAAACTGACGCTGATTAAGAGCTTTAGCTATATGCAGTTGATAATCTTAATCACAAATTCCATAACTTTGCAAGTTTCTTCTGGAAATGCCTGCACACAGAGCGTTTCTTGATGAAGGATATAATGGTAAGTAAGTATCTCATGATTGATTTTTTTTCTTTCAAAAATAGCAACAAACCCATTTTTTACGCCGGTCCTACTTTTTACCCTGTCTGTTGCAATTGCGACCATTTTTATCGAGTGGAATATCATGTTTTTCAATGCATCCAATTACTGCATTTGCTATATCCATGTGTTTGACCTTTAAGTGGTAATAATCCTAAAAGTTCTTCGTTGACACCTGTTCATGAAGTAAATCATAAAAATGTGAAACTTGTGCTATATCATTTATGTTACAAAACTCGGCAACTGCTATTGATAAAGCTGAAAGCAATTTAAGATCTTCGATTTGCTAATTAGTTATATATGAAGACATTTTTACTATTCTATCGTTCACTGTTTTAGTAGACAATGATAATTCTTTAATTTTTTTAACCCAAAGGGCGTTAGACCGTAAGGGCTATTAATTTCGTTTTGGCATTTTGTGTCGAAAACTTTAAACGTCCGTTTCACTTTTCAGATATTTGCCGCCATCAAGCCCTGCGTTACATTTAAATAAATTAAATAATGAAGAATCTGCATACATAAAAGTATGTATGTTTTTCGCATTGCGATTAAACAACGGTATACTAGAGCCATCAAATTCTGAATAAGGTAATCCTCTACCGAATACAGGCATCTGGAAGCCCTAATCTTGTTTTATTATCAGTTTCATAATTTGTAACACTTTAACGAGTTTTTGATTAACAAACTCAACGATTCAAAGCGAGCAATGGCACTGTACGGGAAAAAATAAACATTTTTATCTCCATCGCGCGAGACTATCTGTCGGAAATTCAAAAGATATGGTCATTTTGAAATTATTTTGCGATATTACTGTTAAATTTAATTATATGGTTTAAGTGCGAAGAACATGACATTTAATAAATGAAGGTAACACACAAAACATTAAAAAATTGTCCCCTTGAGTGTAAAGTAAAATCTGAAAGCTTTCATATTTTTTTATATTATTATTATTATCATTATTAAAGAATATGCGCTTCGTTCTTAGTCTCGAAATAGCTCTTCGGATGCATTTATAAAACAAATTTTTTATGTATTTACCGTCTTTATATGGTTTTCATCTTTTAGCATTCTCTTCACTAATCACAAAACTTCCAATATTAACATTATTGGAAGATTGCATCCAGTAATTAAATACAGAAAGTGATTTTTCTTGACTTTTCTGAAGTTCTTCAATTGCTTTCTTCCTTGCATCATTAACAGGATAATTATTACTAAATGAAACTTTCTTTAGTTGTAAAGTGTCTCTACACATCTGATTTTCCGTTATTAGCCAATTTTTATTGACAAATGAGACAGGTCGGAAAGCCATTTGAATTTCGAATAAAAGTGAAAGCCTCAGTCCATTCAATTGGAAATTTGCAGTGGATTTCATCTTCGTTTTTCTTTGCTTCTTCTTTTCTTCTTTGTAGCCATGTTGTTACGAAAAGAAATGAATAGGGCAAGAAATAGCGAAATGATTGAGGACCAGCCAAGAGCAGTTAGGCAAGGAAACAGGAAATGTGCGTTTACACCCATGAATACATTTCTCTCTCTTTTAAGTGGTTTTTAAATAAAACAGGGTAACCCCTTACAATTAATCATTCTAGAACTGCCCTCCTGGCTTACTGACTTACAAAAGTAATTACATTTACTCAATTTGTGGATAAATTGCGCGCGCATCGCCGGTGGTAGGGGAACCTAGATTCAGGCGAAATGCATTATCTGTTGATGGGCACACGCGTAGAATCGCCAGTTCGGTGCAACATAAGTAGACAATTTTCGAACAAATATACTGATGGGGAAATGTGAGAATAGACAATGGGCAATTTTATTGGCTGAGTAGCATTTCTAACGCAGGGTAAAGTAAACAAAATTTCATCACAGCTTCTTCAGAGAAGATGACAGCGGACCGACAGAGAGCGAGGTGCTACACCTAACTACTGCCAGTCAACAGGTTAGGAGAAACTGCGAGTGGGGTGTGCGGTTGGCGAGAGCCAAGCAGAGTAAGAAATGAAACGCCAGTGATTGCAAAAACATGTTTCGTTAATACACTTAAAATGCTATATAACATATACAGATACAAAAATACATAATATTACAATACAACAATAAAAGAATCAGAAGCAAACACAGTACAGATAAGCAGAAATTAAGTAATATAGCTTAAGATCGCCATTGGCCTTTTGGGATTAACATGATCATTACAATCGTAACTTGGAATAGTATCATTAACTTCCGGTATTTTTCGGGAAAATGTCTCAGTCAGCTTGGCCATATACTTATTAATTTCAAGGATTTTATATTCACGGTGAATAGCCGAGTTCCTAATGAACCGCCGGCAGTTCACCACTTCCAAGCATAACCCCAGATAGGACAGGCATAAGTCAAAATGGGACGAAACATAAACTTGTAAAAGAGTATCTTATTACCAATAGAAAGAACGCTTTTTCGTACAATTTAGAGGGCAAGTGTAAGTTTACGCACTCCGAACTAGCCTCGGAGCTTCGGTCATAAACCGAGTGCGTCACATCGAGACAAGGACACAATCGAACGAGGATATCAGTGTTATTTTTGTCGGTACACATCTATTGAAATCAGTACAATGGCCCATTTATCAATACATCAGTAACATTCATAGTAGAAATCCGTACAATGGGAATTTTAACTTGATACACCAAATAATGTAAAAATGTCTGGGTTTTTTAGTTTTTAGACATTTTCAGTCTGAAGTTTTTTCATATTATATGCAACCCAAACATTGTCTATGTATTTTATGTTGCCTAAATTCAGTTGCTAGAGAAAGTTTTGTTTCAGACTGGAAAAACTTCAAATTTGTACAAATAGTTTCTCATTCAAGTTAAAATTGCCATTGAATGGTACATTAATCCAAAGCATTTCATTCATTAAAATGTGGCATATAACTATTACTACGATATCGGAATCTGATGTTATAATCAGTGCAATGAGAACCTCCCAAATCGACACAAAAAATATTTCCTAGGAGTAAAGTTGGCGGATATTTTCATGCTTGTGTAAAATTTTACGGCCTTTGTGTTGTAGTTTCAAGATTTCTTGCTTTCACGTGCACTTGCCCGAATGTGCTATTTTGTGGCAGAGCCACACTCAAGGAGCCAAATAGCCACATTTGGCTCGCGAGCCGCGGTTTGCTGACTACTGCCTTGTAGCATATATCTGTGTTTATTCTGATTAAAATAATTTCTATAAAACCTGTAATTTCCATCCTAGACGCAGCGAAACATTTCTAAACCATTATGCTTCAAACAGCATGCAGAGAATACATTTTTTTTTTTTACATTACATTTTACAGATTCGAATTTTTAGCCGGTTTTCGCCATACAGCAGTGCGCCCAACAGATCTACGTTTATTAAAATGTGGCTCCTTTTCAAATATTATATTGTTTTAATAATGATAAATTTTGATTTACCATAGATTCTGCTAACGTCAGGCGTATTTTGCTTGAGTTCTTTTTACGAGGAATTTGTTTCTTGTAGATCGCCTATTGCATCCAGATGATCTAATGGTTCTTATATTATTCTTAATTCTAATAGTTGGAGTTAATTTTTATTGAAAATTGTTCTATTAAATCCATCGTATCGCATCATTAATATTTGGGTTTTATTTTATTTTTCTTAGGATAAATCTCCAACTCCTCTTCATTTGCTTGGAATATGGTACAGACTTCACTGCATTTTCAACAGTACCACGCAATTTCCATCGATTTATGACATCAAAGGTGGTTGAATGCTTTTCATTGGATATTTCGAATACTTTTACTACCTTTCAAATGATGAATAATTGAATTGCTACTGAAGCTTGTCATTCGTTTGTAGCGTCTTGCCATGTTCTTCCCAGATATGGAACTGTTAACGTATTTTGCTAAACAAGTAATAATTTTTGTTTAAAACAAAATTTATGAAAACAAATTTCATCTGCCAAAATATCTCAATAAAAGTTTGAGTGTCAGAATTATTATATAAATTACCAACTAATTACGTTTAGAATTATTTTATTCCAAAAAATATACTCACTTCCAAAAGTTAAGCACGGAGAGGAAAATGCTAATTTTTAGCCAATCAGAATTGAAGAGGATGCAATTCGCTGCAGAGGTAGATGGAAGTATGCAAATATGTTAGGTAACAGCCAATCGCGCTTTCATGTCAGGAAATATGCAAAAACGGCAGCCTTATAAGAAGCCAGCTTTATGAAGGGTTACAGAAGTTGAATGTAAGCGCTGATAGAAGGTGTTTAAAACTTTCGTACAATTTGTTTTGAACACATACGTGTTTCTATGACTTCCAGAAGACGAATGGAAGATTCTGAGCGCTGGCGTGCTGTGGGGGGGCGCATTGAATCAGGACATCGATCACAGATGTTGCTCTTTTTCTTCGGCGTTCATCATTTGTAATTTCACGTTTATGGAAACAATTCCAAACCACACACACAGTTGTACGAAGACCAATAGCCGGTCACCCAAGGGTTAAAACCTTCCCGTAGAAGATCGATATACTGCTATTGTAGCCAAGAGGAATCGCAGAGCGACCTCCACACGTGTGACCTCTATGGTTACAGCGTCCATTGGTGAGACGATATCTGCAACTACTGTATACCGAAGATTACATATGAATGGTCTGTACGCTCGAGTACCTCGAAGTTTGTGTTCCTCTATCTGTCCAATCAAGACGGGCACGATTACAGTGGTGCCAGAAACATGCCATGTATCTGACTGGGGCAATGTCATGTTTACTGATGAGTCAAGATTTGCTCTAGAGCCAGATGACAAGCGTATAAGGATATGGCGTGAACAACGAACACGCAATCAGTCCCAAAACATCACGCATTCCGAGCTGAAAGCATTATGGTGTCGGTAGGGATTTCATTAGGATACCGCACCGACCTGCACATCTTTAAACGGGGTTATTTGGCGGCTGTCCGGTATCGAGATGAAGTCCTAGAACCCATATTGAGATTGTAAGCTGCAGCAGTTGGCCGTACTTATGTTTTAATGGGCGATAACGCATGTCCCCATAGAGCTGAGATCGTCGATGACTGCCTGGAGAGTGAAGGGATTGCGCGTATGGCGTGGCCAGCATATTCGCCCGACCTTAATCCTATTGAAAATCTTTGGGATGCTTTCGGCCGTACTGTATCTTTACGTTTCCCACCTCCAGCCCCTCTTATTGAGCTGGAAACGGCTGTACAGGAAGAATGACAATTGTTTAATTCTGCGGTGGTTGACCACCAAATTGAAAGCATGGTCACAAGGTATAAACTTTGTATACAGATGAAGAGGATCGCATACGCTATTAATGTCCTTTTTGTTCATTTTATGCTGTTTATTTTCACTTTAAACATAATTCTGTCTCCAATATGTCATTATCTGTAACTTACAAAATTTAATATTGTTTTCATTTCTGTATATGATTATTGATTTTGTTTTATGCATAAATATATATGCTACTTTCCTGCCGAATTTCGTGTCAATCAAAGCAGTATTTGTTGATTTTTTTACATTTTATGTCTTCGTGCTTAACTTTTGGAAGTGAGTGTACCTTGATTATGTCTATTTTGTTACAAGAAAAGCTTAAGAGAGAGAAAAATATTATATTCGAAGAACGTTTGGGAGTCTATGTTTCAAACTTTAGTACGAAATTTATGCACATAAACTTTAAAACCCAACGTGTTCGAAAACAAATGTGAGCCACTATAAATCATTTCTGATACTTGAGTAAATCTATTTTTTCTGTATCTGAATATACGCTTTCTTATTAGATGCTCTTACATCTAATACTGAAAAACCACATATTCTTTTCTTAAAATTAACGTATATTTTCTTAAAATTAACGTAGCTGTTTTAATACTTAATATCAATATATTTCATAGAAGTGCTTAAATCTTCGAGAAATAAGATTTGTTTTTGTTATGATTTATCTCACTTAACTGACAGTAAAATCAGAACAGGTCATCGACGCAATCAGAGCAGGATTACGTCTGCCGTTTTCTCATGTCTCTGGGGCACCATTTATGAGTGCCTCTGTCGCAGAAACGCTGTACATTTACAAATATCCTCCCCTTCTCGGGAATCGAACCCATGCCCATTTATTTGGCAGCCAGTAAAGCTAATCATTATACATATCATCCCGGAAAAGCAGTTCTAGTTCAGAGATTTAATCTAGTACTTAGAATTACTACGACGAATTTAGACAAATGAAATTTTAAGGTTAATTCAGTGTGAAATCTTAAAACAAACGTATATGTTCATCACTATAAATGCATATATATCCATGCAAAATAAGTCTTTGCAAAACTTTTGAATACACGGAAGTCATAGAAATTAAACAGTTTTGTTAAAATTTTTCTTTTACTATTTGTTCGTTTACTAGATGTAAAAAAGAGAAAATGATATATCATACTTATTTTTAGCTTTAGCAGTTTAGACGTCAAAAAATATAAGCTTAATGGTCTAACTCAGAGACTCAATAGGAAGTTAATTGCGGAGAATAATAATTAAAGTTTTACGTGGAAAAACAAGACGCATTCGAGACCAAAGTATAGGTTTTAGTGTTTAAAAAAGTTAACCTTCACTAAACATTTCTCAACAGTTTGTCATTAAAAAGGAACTACAAAATGTGTCATATGCTATCTATAAAAATTGACCAAGGACATCATGTTTTCGAAACCTAGTCAGTAACGTTGTGAAAGCAGTATGCAATAACAATCGAATTTCAATAACTTATAAGAAAGGTTTGTTTAGATGTTGACTTTACGCAAATTCTGCAACATACATTTCACTAATCTTTTGTTTTTCAGTCTGAGGCACAGGATTTGTAAAAGACTCCATTCACCTAAATTATCCAGCTAACTTACGCAAATTTTTTAATGATTTCTTTGCGGATAAATGTTTAATTGCAAAGTGCAAAGCAAGCGTCGAAAATAAATTTCTGTGATTCATTAGATACAATAGATTTCATAGATTCATTAGATATTTCTATATCAAAAATCGATGTTCATTATTGTTTATTTCAAGCTAAATGCATTTTAGATTCACGAATGTAATGGAAATGTACAACTGTTATGAACTGCGGAATTTTCAATTATTGTTAATTATCGTAATTCTCATAATTATGAGTATATTCTCATAATTACCGTAATTCTCATGTTAATACCGTAATTCCCAGGGTTATTTCCCCTCATTTTTTCGTTAATTTTATCGTTCTGACATCTAGAAGGGAAAATCATGCGAATAATTTAATTTCTGAAGGACGCGGTTGCAGTAAAATCATAACAAAAGAAAAATAGTTATGAAAAAATTACAAGCTACTATAACGGTATTATTTTTTTAAAAGAAACCAATATTCCAATAAGAATACGTAATAATATCAACAATACAGCATTTAATAAGATATCTTCATTTCTATTTCCCTGTAATTTAAATCTTGCCTTTTCATACTGTCGTCTCAGGTACTCCTTAGGTCTCAAATCATCCATACATAATTAGAGAAGGTCAATGTGCAGCTAACTCAGCGAAACCATAGACTGAATATCAATTCGTATTTGCTTCGCTGTGATTGATCGATTCCTGTATCAGGCTAGTATATATGTAGTTCATGAGTGAGAAGGTAATGGTTAGACAGAACTTTCAGGTAGTTTGCAAGGGTTTGTCTTTATTAGTAAAACGAAAACAATCACTACGTGAACGAATCCCTTTTAAAATTTAGAAGAGCTTCTTCTCTGAACACACAAAGAAAATAAGAAATAGGAAAATACACAATTATTTTTTTTAATTTTCAGAACCAGGCGCTAGGTAATATGCGAGGAAATGTGGTATTTAGCCGATTCCTCATTTAAAAAATTAGTCACTTTTATTGTTAACTACGTAGCAAGCAATATATTGAAAATTAGAACGATGTAAAGCACATTTTAAAACTTTATTACTTGTTTACAAAATATAGTTATCCTAAACAAGCAAATTTAAGTTGTATTTCAGATGTTGTATAGCAAATAATCTAAATAAAATAATCCAGTTAAACGGGACTTGCAGTTTTATGAAAATGCAATTGCTGGAAAAAGTATTTGCAGTTTTACATAAATGCAAACGGTAGAAACATCCCTTCAAACTACTCAAAATACTGTTTGCCTACATTTGCAGTAAAATGTTTTATTCGAAAATATGTGATTCATTACAAAGAAGAATGGGTCTAATTTGCTGAAATGTACATACCTGCTGTTCTTTAGAACTTTGGAAGAATACATGAACAGCTCATTTTTCAGTATGTATGTAGAAGATTTTTAGTAAAATTTCAGACTGTATGAAACTAGGCAAAAAAAGAATTCTAATTCTTGTGCTCAATTAATTTGCTTTTGTTCTAGAGTTATGCATATAGGTTTGTAAAATTAGTTGTTATACTTGTTTAGCTATTGTTAGACATTAGTTTGACAATTCTACTGTTATGAACACTGAACCTGTTTTCTTGTACCGGCTGCTCTCCTTCTATTTTAGTTTAAAGTTTCGAAATCAACAAAATACTTCGTTACTCTCCCGATAAGAATTTAGTTTTCATTTCTTTATTTATGTACTATTGTATTCCTAAAATTTTTGCGAACAGTCACCAAGAATAAAAAAAAAAAAAAAAAAAAAAAAAAAAAAAAAAAAAAAAAAAAAAAAAAAAAAAAAAAAAAAAAAAAAAAAAAAAAAAAAAAAGATAAAATTTCACAAACCACGGAGATATTATACTTTTTTTAATTTTTAAAAGTTACTACATTATTTTTTAATTAAATCTTGCAATCAAAAGTTTAAAAAATTTTGAATAAATATTTTCCTAGTTCAATTTCAATCTTAAACGTTAATGCATGAACCAAATTTTTAAAAAAAATTAATCTAATTATTCAAAGTAAAAATTAAATCGAAACAAAATAATTTAATAAAATAATA